TAATTCTATTATTCTTAATAATTCTACTTTAGAATTTGAAAAATGTAATCCCTTAATTTATTTATATTCTAAATGAAAATAAAATAAGATTTAAGAATTCAGTATCATCAAAAACAATTTAAAAAATTCTATCTACATTATTATAAAATATATAGTCATTTTAATTATTCTTCTTCCTTTAATCTAAAGTATTAAACTACATTGGTCAAATTGAATAGGTTCTTTAACTGTTTTTATTGTTAAGCCTATTTAATGACTTACAAAAATGTCATTCCAGTGGTTTTCTTATTTTATTAAACCTTATTATTTAATTAGATCAATTACCACTGTAATTTAAGGGGGAACTACAATAGTTTTTAATTATTCTTCAAGTATCTTCTCTTCTTATTATGGTGTCAATTTTTCTACTTCTTCCTCTTCATCAGGATTTGGTTATTTGATAACTTATCCATATTATTTTTACATGCACTTATCGAAATCCGAAAGATCTTCTGAATCTTTAAAATAAGACTTTATAAATTCTCCTAATCTAACATATATAAGGTAAGTGAGAGCATCTAATTTTTTGAATAATGGTTATTGTCTTCTCTCATCAATACCTAATTAATCTTAAGTTCTAATTAATGATAACTTCTCAGCACATCTGGCGAGTGCTTCTAAGAATTCATAGAATTCCATCTGAAAATGTTTAAGCAAGAACAATTCATCAACTGAAGTTTACATTGATAATAAGAATACTAAATAAGCATCTCTTTCAACAAATATATCACAATATAAATCGCATTTATTAATCAAATCTCTAAAGTCTTTAAATTGAAGCCATAAATGTTTGTAATATTTTTATTTAGGATTTAATTTTGAAGTAAATTTGAATAACATTTTTAACATAGGTAATCTATCCTCTAAATATATTGAATAATAAAATTACTTAAAAGCGTATCACATTATTCATTCCAGTATCGCATATCTCTCCAATCTTGGCTACGATCTATCTCTAATAATTTTAATTTAACTCCATCCTCTTCAAATAGTTTTCTCAAACTCTCTTTAACTGATTTACAAATTTAGGTTCTTATATATTTATCAACTGCTATTCTAACCAATAATTCCATCAATTAATATCTAACTAATGCTTTCTCATATACATTAGGATAATTAATATCTTTTACATTTGAAGTGGAAATGAAATTTAAATCAACATCACCAGTTCTAAATTTATCTGATATTACACTAGTTGAATTAATTAAATCAAAAAAAGCATTTGATGAAATACAAGGAATCGTAGCACCTATAAGTGTGGATGCATAAAATTTATAGGATGCAAAAATATATGGATAATATTCTCTCATTACTTCTTTCACTTCATTATATTCTAAAGGATCTTTAATTATTTTATTGATTTTTGAGCTTCCATAATCATATTCAAAACATTCATCTATTATTTCTTCATTGTCAGGTTGATAATTCTTAAAGATTGAAAGTTCATAACTCCAAAATTATTTTTCTCTTTTTGTAAGAAACTTAGTTAAATCAAAGGTTTTTTCCTCTTCTCTTGGTTTACTAAAGATTTTAGCAAAATATCTATCCATAATTGATTATTTATCTTCAGTAAACATTTCATTCACAAAACCCATCCTATTACCTTCAATTAATATATCTCCATTATATAAAAATGATTATTTAGTTTGATATAATGGATCATCTGAGGGAGTTTAAGTGATCATTTAATTTTTTGCAGTTGTTTGAATTCCTAAAACAGGATTACTAAAAAAATAAGTAACCTTATAATTTGGAGGACACATTCGATATGCAGAATATTCTCCATTATGTAATGTCATGAGAATAGGTTTATAACTTTCAAAGTTTAAATGTACAAATATTGGATCATTGTTCATTCCTCCTGACTTTCCTGGAGTCCATGTAAATTTAACTTCTTACCAACCATCACAAATCCAACAAGAATCTAATTCACTATCCTTATCATAATTTTATCTAATTGGTTTCATACCTTAAATTCTTCTAAATCTGAAGTTTCTATGTAATTCAGCATCACTTTATAAATTGCTTATTTTTTATTGGTGATAATTATGATGATTATGAGGGTCTTCTATTTCTAAAGATTAAATTTCATTATCATCAACTAATTTCAGAGTTGTTTAAGGATTTTTTTTACATTCTTCAATTTTTCTTTAAATATCAATTGCTTCTTAGATTCTGTCTCTTAAATGACCAGTAGAATCAACAGAGTATTTTGGGCAATTTCCTTGATAATGAAATCCATAAATATTCTGATTTTAATCCAATGCCTTCTTTATTTCAATAGATTGTTCTTCATTAAAATTATTATAAGAAATATCAATATGCATAAGTTCAGGATATTATTTAATTATTACTTTTGCCATCCACTAAGCACATTCTAATGAAGCAGTTCTATTATAAGAAATATCAAAAACTTTCACACTAGAATTCTTGTAAAAGGCCTTCCAAATATTTACTCCTCCTGCACTATTTATTGAGTTAAAATGAAGATACAATTCAAATAATACTTAAGTTTTCTTTATATAATTAGAAAGTTCAATAGTACAATGTTCAGTAAGGTTGTTTTTTGATAAATTTAAATAAAGTAAATAATCGTGATCTTATATTGCTAAACATAATGCATTGCTACCCAAATCACCTATTCGATTATTTTCAAGATTCACCTTCTTTATTGCTGATTTTTATATATATTTTGATAACAATTAACAGGCTTTAGAATCCAATCCATTGTTCATTAAATCTAATTCTTAAAGATGTTAAGGAAAAGATTTTGTTAGTTATTAAATCCTAAATTAAAATTGGTCTAATACTTCAATGAATTGAGTTTATTGTGACTCAATTTTAAATGAGTTAAAGTCTTACATTGTGAAGTCTTTAAAGCCTCAGAAAAAACCTTCACTTATTAATTTGTTCTAATCTAGCCAGATGCATTAGCTATTTAGATGTGGTTGCACTACTGGACCAATCCCAATCCACTTTAAAAAATAGATTATTGATGTGAACTCTTATTTAGTTGCATATATAAATTTGGTGGTTATTTATAGAATTGTGCAAAGTCTTCCAGCTTATTTTATGATTTTACAACTTTTCTAAAATCCTCTTAACAAACCTTGTTCAAATTTTTGCTATTATATATACAATTAATTTACTTAGCTAATCTAAACCTTTTTAGATATCTTCCTCTATCCGTATTTTACTCTTAATAAATGTCTCCCTTGAATTCCAATTATTACAAATATAATTAACGTTATTAATCATATTTATTATTATTGTTATTACGAGTTGAATTTGATTTATGATGATGATGTTGATGCTTTTTTATCATATTCATTCTTTGAGGACTGTAATCTTAATAAGAGAACTGTTTCATTGAATTTGCGTGTGCGTCTTCATTAAACCTCTCTATTTCTTGAATATCATTTTCCATCATATCATCGAATAATTCTGGCTTGTAATTATCAAGCAACTCCCTTATCATCTTTTCTTCTTCCAACTCGTTCAGATGGTCTATTATGCTTTTTTGAGGAGGTTAAGGAGTCGCCAAACTACACATAAACTCAAATATAAAACTGTTGTCTAACTGGGATTTCTGTCACCCTAGTTAGATGACCGTCCCTTTCTTAACTAAATGGCATCTTTATCTTCTCAATATCTAAACTACATTAAATCTTAGGGGACACTGAAATTCTATTATTACAATTGAAGGCTGTTCGTTAAGTTTAACAAGTTGATACTAAAATTATTGAGTAATTATCAATACTAGTTCTTTTGATTTTTTCTCTTATCGGACTGTTTCTTCTTAACTCCTCCTCCCTCTTATACTGAATTATTCTCTCAATTAGCTTTTCCTTTGTGTTATAGATCCTAAGTTTCTCAAAAAACATTTTTATTTATATTATAAATACAATATTGCTTTACTGAAAATTTTATCCACAATATTATTTAATAATGTAAATAATTACTTAATTATAACTTAATTGTATAATTATGCTTATAAACTTGTGGCTCAAACAACAGTTGAGTCACTATTATGATAATATTTTATATTTATATTAATTATTAACTTAAAAAAAATTAGATCATTTGAATTAAAAACTAGAACAGGCCTAAATAAACATTTAATTTATTATGCAGCTCAAAAGATCATCAAATTTCCTTTATTTTGTAGAAAGATTCAAAACAAAAATAAGTTTTAGTTGAAAATAAATATGATAATAATATCTTCAAATGAAAATTAAAGTATTTTAATAAATGAAATTAATTTTTAAGTTTAAACTTAAATACTAAAAGTTTAATATTAGTTTTAAGCAAATAAATTCAAGTAAAAAATGATTTCAAATTATAGATATTTTAGATTCTTAAACAATATTGTAATAATAAATAAAAATAAATTGTTTGTTATAATCATACATATTTAATAATTTATACAAATAACAATTACCTAGCACTAGTATTGAATTATTAGTAAATATCAGTTTTTCATTTTCCATATTATATATTTTACAGATTTTTCTTTTCATTTTTTATCAATTAATTAATTTATCTTAATATATTTTGTTGTAATAAATTGCCCTTTTTTTTTTAACTTTTCTATCTTGATATCCAAACTTTGATAATGGCGAAAAAAGAATAACCTCAAGCATTTCAAAGCAAATTTATTTGCTAGCAGCATTCAGATGGATGTTGTTAGATTTTTTCGATTATTTGTTAAGTTTCAAAAGCATTTGATATTGATGGTGTGTTATCCTTTTAAACTGAGATTTTATTTTATCCATTAGAAGATATAAAAAAAGGAAAAATTAAATATAAATGTGTTTTTGAATCATTTATAAAAACTATAAATAGAAATAAATTGATGGGTTTGTTTCCTAAAGGAATATAAATTAATTAAGATTATGTGTTATTTTCACTGAAATATCAAAAATGTAAATATTTTTTGATAAATATTTTTGAAAAAAATTCTCAAAGTAAAAGTTTAATGAATAAAATTAGTTTATAATCATTTTGATTAAATAGTGACTATTTATAAAAAAAAATCTTTATATANATAGATCCTAAGTTTCTCAAAAAACATTTTTATTTATATTATAAATACAATATTGCTTTACTGAAAATTTTATCCACAATATTATTTAATAATGTAAATAATTACTTAATTATAACTTAATTGTATAATTATGCTTATAAACTTGTGGCTCAAACAACAGTTGAGTCACTATTATGATAATATTTTATATTTATATTAATTATTAACTTAAAAAAAATTAGATCATTTGAATTAAAAACTAGAACAGGCCTAAATAAACATTTAATTTATTATGCAGCTCAAAAGATCATCAAATTTCCTTTATTTTGTAGAAAGATTCAAAACAAAAATAAGTTTTAGTTGAAAATAAATATGATAATAATATCTTCAAATGAAAATTAAAGTATTTTAATAAATGAAATTAATTTTTAAGTTTAAACTTAAATACTAAAAGTTTAATATTAGTTTTAAGCAAATAAATTCAAGTAAAAAATGATTTCAAATTATAGATATTTTAGATTCTTAAACAATATTGTAATAATAAATAAAAATAAATTGTTTGTTATAATCATACATATTTAATAATTTATACAAATAACAATTACCTAGCACTAGTATTGAATTATTAGTAAATATCAGTTTTTCATTTTCCATATTATATATTTTACAGATTTTTCTTTTCATTTTTTATCAATTAATTAATTTATCTTAATATATTTTGTTGTAATAAATTGCCCTTTTTTTTTTAACTTTTCTATCTTGATATCCAAACTTTGATAATGGCGAAAAAAGAATAACCTCAAGCATTTCAAAGCAAATTTATTTGCTAGCAGCATTCAGATGGATGTTGTTAGATTTTTTCGATTATTTGTTAAGTTTCAAAAGCATTTGATATTGATGGTGTGTTATCCTTTTAAACTGAGATTTTATTTTATCCATTAGAAGATATAAAAAAAGGAAAAATTAAATATAAATGTGTTTTTGAATCATTTATAAAAACTATAAATAGAAATAAATTGATGGGTTTGTTTCCTAAAGGAATATAAATTAATTAAGATTATGTGTTATTTTCACTGAAATATCAAAAATGTAAATATTTTTTGATAAATATTTTTGAAAAAAATTCTCAAAGTAAAAGTTTAATGAATAAAATTAGTTTATAATCATTTTGATTAAATAGTGACTATTTATAAAAAAAAATCTTTATATATATAAAATAATTAAAAAAATTCTTTATTATTGTTTAAAAATTTTGAATATTGTGAGATTATAAAATTTCTAAATTTAAAACAATACGTATGTCAATATAATTATCATAAAAAGACTATTTATTAAGTATCTTACTTTCAAAAAATTGGAATTAATTAAACCAAAATTAATTTTGTGAATAAGGAAATTAGTCTTTACAACTTAAAACAAAAATAGATTTCTCAAAACATTCTAATTATTCTTATAGATTTTAGAAGGGAATGTACAATAAATATTTGAGACTATAAAAAGGATTTATAATAAATATCTATCATACATGATAATACATTTTTCTTATTTTATATTCTATGTAAAAGAGCATTAAAGAATTATGAGTTCTAAAGATTATACTTGTAATAATAATAAAATACAATTACTGAAGTTGGGAGAAAATACTCCTAATTAGATAGATGAATATTGACAACCTTTAAAACTAATTCTACTCTAAAAGTTGCTGTTTTGTAAAATTTAAAGCTAGTAAATAGTATTAAAATTTTATTTTTATTCCATCATTTTTAGGGAGTTGCATAATTGCATAATTGAATAAATACAATAATTATATATTTAATTAAGAAAATTTAAATTAATGTAAAATAAAAGCAAGGCGGAAACTAATTAAAATACGATTGGATTAAATCCTGACGGTATTTTTGATCTTTGTGACTATTTCCCAGTTAATGATAACGATGTTTGTTTTGAAGAATATTTTTGGATAGAAAATTATATTTTATCTCCTGATTAAAGATATATTGCTATTTTTGTGAGAAGAAATGAAGTTAAAATTGGAAGCCATTCATTAAAAGAATATATCATTTTTATTCTATCTTTAATAGATAATGAATATATCTATTATGGAGAATATATTGAAGAAGAATTGGAAATCCAAAATTATTTTTTCTCAGCTAACTCTAAATATCTAATACAACATAAGCCTACAAAATTATTATATATTAAAGTTTTAAGTAAGCAAAATACAAGAGTAAAAAAGATATCATCTGAGAGTTTTCTATCTAGTGAATCTTCCGGTAATATAAATTTATTAATTAATAATACAACAATTTTAACTATTTAATTAGAAAATGATTTTTAATAGATAAAATAATTTGAATATGAAATCACATTTTATTAGAAGTTATTTTCTAATTTTGCAATTGTAGAATCAAATGATTAAACATATATCATTCACATATAAAATTAAAAAATACTGCTCAGTTGGAATTAATAAAGTCCTAACATCAGATATTTTTGGAAATCTTTCATTGTTTAAGGTCAAGATTATGCTAATAAGCTTAGAAATTTGCAAACTGGCAAATTAATAAGGAATATACATCCAAAATTAGGATTTCGATAATTTTCTTAAGATTAGTAATCAATATATTTGTTTTAAATTGTTGAAAGATATCCAAAAATAAAGAAATAAAAGGAAAAATTCTAAAATATTTTCTCTAGATTTGATATTTTGAAGGGAGTTTATAAATAACTGAATATCAACATCATCCCTTTTTAAAATTTATAAACTTTTAATAATGATTATTATATAGATTATGAAGATGTCGAAGAAGTCGAAAATGGGGCAGATAAAATTAAGAGATTGAGATACTTTCATATCTCTAAGTTAACTAAATGAAGTAATATACAATATTATTATCATGAATATTAATTTATCTAATAAAAATTAAAAATGATTAAATTTCTTTAGCTAAGATTTAAATTTATAAGTTATTTATACCTTGATAATTGATTAATTTAATACTTAAAACATTAAATAAATTCTTAAAATGATATTGGTAACTGAATTAAATAATTAATCATTTCTAATTAATAACAAAGTTAAAAGGAATTTTAAGTGATTTCAACTTCTATCATAATAAAAGAATTTAAATAACAAATAAATTAATTGAAGCATAAAATTGAACTGTGATTATCACAAATAATCAGTTGGTTTATAAACAGATAATCACATAAAATTTATATTTAATATTGATAAATTTTACCATGCATTAAAATAATGCCTTAATTTAATAAATATATTAAATCAAGATATTTAATTATTCTTAATAAATAAATTATAAAAAATATCGTGTGTTATTTTGTTCAATGTGGAAATTCTTTTGAAAATGACTAGAAAATAACTAAGAAAGTTTATGTTATCAAAATTCTTTCATCTCTTTTTTATTTTTATATAAAATTTTAAAAGGATTTATCAATATTCTGCTCTTTAAGAATAAATTTAAATTAATATACTTGAATGAAATCATTTTTCAGCACTTCTTGTTATAATAAGAAATCTAATCTCTCACCAAATCTAACAAACAATAAATAGGTTGATTAATCTGAATCATTTACCAATTTTAACAATATATAGACAACTTTAAAAAAACCAGAACTTTATGATCCAAAATGTTTTATTTATAATCTAATTTAGGTTTGTAATACTAATACAATGTAGAAGTTGAAGGGGTTATTTTTGATGTACTAGCTCCTTGCATTTTATTAGATGAATTTTTATCAGAAAATATTGAAATAGAAGAATGATCATTTTATTTGATAATACTAAATTTCTATATATTAATTAACATCTTATTTTCAACTTTCCCATAGGACAGTACGGAATAATTCCTTTTGTAAATGATCATGTTTAAAAAATAAATTTAGAATATTCTATATGTTATTAATCCTTTTTTAATAAGATTTTTATTTGACAAAGAAATATATAAAAACACCTATTCATTAACTTAGTTAGTTGTTGTTGAAGAGTAAATTTTAAGAATTCTGAAATTATTATATATTACATAATTTACTTTACCAACTCATAATAATCAAAATTCTCCTTATTTATCAAATTTTTTTACTCAGTAGCTTAGTCATAAGTCATTAATTTATATATGAAAAATGATATGGATTAGTTGATTCAAGGGTCTCAATTATTTCATCTAAAATTATTCTATATACTTCATAATTTCTTTATTTTAATAGATATATATGAAGTACTTTTCTTTATATTCCCAAATATTTTTGATCCTCATATATAAATTGGATAATTAAATTTCTAACCCTTATTTTCAATAATTATTAAAAAAAATCTATTGCTACTTCCAAATAATTTCGATGAATGAAAAAGGACTTGAAAATGCTATTTGGTTTAAATTACTAAAAGAACTGTAAATATTCCCTTAAATTCAAAACATGTTAATGAAAATTTTAATTCTTTAACAAATATTTACAATCTTTCAAACAAAATGAGTAGGTTTATTAATGAAATTGGAAACAACCATTATAGAAACATCTTGAATTACTTTTTTTTAATTCAATGAAAATTACTTTGTTAACAAATTTATTAAAATATATTATTAATCTTATAGATTAAAATCAAATATAACTAGTAGGTATATAGAATGATGAAATGTATTAAACTTTTAGACAACCAGGAAAATTTGAAAAGAAAAAATAAATATTAAAAAGATGGAGAGAATGTTCAAGTATTTGAAGAACGATGATGAGAGTTTGTCTTTAAGAAGAAAATACAATTATTATAATATATAAAGAAAAGAGGTATTGGACATAGAATATTTAATAAGAAACATTAATTAATCAATTAAATTAAACAACAGACATAAATAAATGAAAATAGAGATATATTTTTGATGATCAAGAGTTGCATAAATATGATATATATTGAATAGTATGAATAATTTATTTTGAAAAATTAAAGTGAATGAAAAGAGATAATTATTTTTAGAAAAATTATGCAATTTTTTTGTAATTTATGGGATTCATAATTACATAAAATTTNTTATTATATATTACATAATTTACTTTACCAACTCATAATAATCAAAATTCTCCTTATTTATCAAATTTTTTTACTCAGTAGCTTAGTCATAAGTCATTAATTTATATATGAAAAATGATATGGATTAGTTGATTCAAGGGTCTCAATTATTTCATCTAAAATTATTCTATATACTTCATAATTTCTTTATTTTAATAGATATATATGAAGTACTTTTCTTTATATTCCCAAATATTTTTGATCCTCATATATAAATTGGATAATTAAATTTCTAACCCTTATTTTCAATAATTATTAAAAAAAATCTATTGCTACTTCCAAATAATTTCGATGAATGAAAAAGGACTTGAAAATGCTATTTGGTTTAAATTACTAAAAGAACTGTAAATATTCCCTTAAATTCAAAACATGTTAATGAAAATTTTAATTCTTTAACAAATATTTACAATCTTTCAAACAAAATGAGTAGGTTTATTAATGAAATTGGAAACAACCATTATAGAAACATCTTGAATTACTTTTTTTTAATTCAATGAAAATTACTTTGTTAACAAATTTATTAAAATATATTATTAATCTTATAGATTAAAATCAAATATAACTAGTAGGTATATAGAATGATGAAATGTATTAAACTTTTAGACAACCAGGAAAATTTGAAAAGAAAAAATAAATATTAAAAAGATGGAGAGAATGTTCAAGTATTTGAAGAACGATGATGAGAGTTTGTCTTTAAGAAGAAAATACAATTATTATAATATATAAAGAAAAGAGGTATTGGACATAGAATATTTAATAAGAAACATTAATTAATCAATTAAATTAAACAACAGACATAAATAAATGAAAATAGAGATATATTTTTGATGATCAAGAGTTGCATAAATATGATATATATTGAATAGTATGAATAATTTATTTTGAAAAATTAAAGTGAATGAAAAGAGATAATTATTTTTAGAAAAATTATGCAATTTTTTTGTAATTTATGGGATTCATAATTACATAAAATTTATTGTAGATTAAAATTAATTATTTTTAAAAAGCAAAATTTTTTTTGAAAAATAATGAGCATTTTTTGAAAATTAAATATTTTTTTCCAAAATCAAAGAAAAAAATTAGAGAAAGATATAGAAATCAACTGGCTTAAGTTCTATAAGAGAATAATAGCTTACAAACCTTTGCTAAATTTATCTTAAAAATAAATTTAATTTTCTTCTTAAAATTTTAAACCCTAAACTATGATATTTTCTTTTATATGTCAAACAACATAGAATAATATCCTCTTTATTTCTCGTTAATCAAATTATTTATTTAGAGATTCCTAGTATTTCAAATAATGTTTATTCAAAGTATGACGGTGAAATTTCTTGAAATTCTGGGTTGTGGGAATTTAAAGCTTCATTTATTTTTCTGCTCCTAAATTTACAACACAAGAATTAAATACCTTTATTCCACCTTATAATCTTCCATAAATTGTAAAATAACAGTCAGTAATCATAAGATATATATTTCTTGTTTAAATATTATTTTGGATTGATAATTCTTTGATGTATAAATTTAATTTTTAAATAATCGATTTGTAAGAGTTAAGCTCTATCAATTATCTAATTATTATTCAAATTTAAGCAAATAATATACAACAATTATATGATTGATTGAATTAATTCTAGCAATAAAATAAGTTTAATTGTATTCACTTTATAATTATATGAAAGAACTTATTTATTTAATAAATTTCTGAATTTTTTTGAAACTATTTTTTTTCTAATTCTTTGCTTTATTTTTACATAAAAAATGCCGAACAATTGAGAAGATAACATATTATTATAGAAACATCATTACTATTTGAAGTAAATGATAGATAAAAATTATGATATTCAAATCTCCTATGATAAGAAATTTTTAGTCTTAAAAACAGATTTTTTTTATTATTTTTGTTGTTGTTATTATTAGTGAAATACAATTCATATTGAAATAAATGGAATATGAAGCTTAAGATGCATTGATTTTCTTGGAGTCAATATAGGAAAAAGGCATCTAAGAGATTGAAATTGATAAGTGGAATTAACTCTAAGAGAAGCTTGTAAAGTCTAAAATTCAAATCAAAATTACCTAACATAATTATATCCTTTACACTTAAGATGGAGTAATATTGAAAAGGTAACAATAATTTGTAAATTTTGATAGTGAACTAATTTTAGATAATTCTAAGAAACTAGAAATCGTGACAAATATAGACTAGATCAAATATTTTCAATGGACTGGTGAATATGGATAGAATAACAGAAAACATGGTAAATGGATAGTTACTTGGAATATGGAAGTCCTTAAAGATGTTGGTGGGTATTATGATAATGGATTAAAGCAAGGTTTATGGAAAGAACCAATTAAAAATTTTTGGAGGTAGATATTCATATCATAATCAAAAAAATAGTAAAGCTCAAATCTATGAAAGAGGATTATACTATAATAATTAAAGATTTGGGACTTGGAATTTTATTTAGGACAATAAAAGAATGTATATTTGATAAATTACTTAGTGGGGGTGGATAGTATAATAATTAAGGTAAGAAGAATGGTAAATGGATTGAGTTGAATGATAGGTATTATAACCTATCATAAATCACTTATAAGGGTGAATATAAAAATGATAATAAAGTTGGTGAATGGAAATGTTATTTGAATTATGAAAAATATCAATTGATGTAAAATTATTATTTTAATAAACACTATTAGCGGAGGTGGAATATATCACCAAGTATAAGAAGGATCTATTAAAACTGGGAGGTGGATTGAATTAAGCGATGGATTTAGCTTTGGGTCACAGATTACGTTATAAGGCCATTATAATAATGGTAAAAAAGTAGGTAGATGGAATTATTATTGGAATGATAATAATATAACTAAATTGATGTAAAATTATTGAATATTAAAAAAATAAATCAAGGGGTGGAGGATTATATGATGATTCAATAAAGATAGGAAGATGGAATGAATTAATTAATAATTTCGGAGGTGGACAAGGATAATCATAAATAGCTTACGCTGGTGAATATTATAATGACAAAAAAATTGGTAGATGGAATATTTTGTATTAGGAATATTGGGAAAAGAACTTTTAAATAGTGTAAGATTTAAAAAATCAAATTATTTAGTGGTGGTGGATTGTATAATGATTTAGGTTCAATTAAAATTGGGAATTGGATTGAAGTGAGTGAAAATTTTGGGAGTAGACGAGGATAATCATTTGTCACTTATCATGGTGAATATAAAAATAATAAAAAGGTTGGTAAATGGGATATTTGGTATAAATAATTTAACAACAGATGGGATTCAGAATAAATGTACATTGTAATAAAAAAATTATTTAGTGGTGGGGGATTATATGATCAAGAAGGATTTTTTAAAATAGGTTTGTGGATTGAGGTAGGTGATGGCTTTGAAATGAATTTGTAAATAATTTAAAGAGGTTATTATTAAAACGATGAAAAAGTTGGTAGATGGGATATTTTGTATAGAGAATGGGGAAGTGAAAAGTTTGAGAATATGTAAAATTAAAAAACCTTTATTTTAGTGGTGGTGGATCATACAGTGAAGGGGGTTCATTTAAGATTGGAAAGTGGATTGAGTTAGTTGATGGTTCCCTTGTCTCTTATATATGTGAATATAAAGATGGTAAAGTAATTAGTATGTAAAAATGAATATGAGGAAAATAAGAATATAGTGATATTTGATAATATAATTTAATAAATATTCGAATAAAATACATGAGTTGAGAAAGAATTATACAGGAGTTAAAATCACTTATATATTCATTAAATTTGATTGAATGCTATTTGTTTTTTTGTTGATTTTTAATCATTAAATTTTGAATTTTAGATAAAAGGATTTATACTTTGTTTTATGAAATCCATAAGGCAGCATAATAAATAGAATCATATGAATTGAAATAAAATTTTATTAGAAATTACTTTTTAAGCTCATTAATTTTTAATTATTTATTTGGCACTATTTGATTTAAAAATCAACTATTAACAAACATTCTATATTAAGTAAGTCGATTTTCAAAAAAAACTGACATTTAGACAATCAAAAGGTGTTTAATTATACTATGAAATAGTTTAATGAATAATAATTATTATGATTATTGGATTATTGCTCATTTAAAAATAATTATGAAATATAAGATTAGTGTTAAAATTAGAAAATTTTATTTTCCTACTAAATTAAATAATTATTAATTTTTATTTTAGGTTTATCTCAAAGTTGTGTAAATAAATCTAAAGAATATATTCCTCTATGTTGAAGCTGATTAAGGAATTTTTTAAATATTTAATTTAAGATGAAAGTTATCTATTTATTAAATATTATATATCATAGCCTTATGTTAATTTTTATAAAAGGATCCTTATACAGAAGTAAATATAATTTCAATGTGATTTTGAGATCTAATAAGTTTATAAAGAATAGCTTAAATTAAATGAGCTATTTTAGTATCTTTACAATAATAAAATAGTTATTCCTGGTTATTTCTTTCATAGAATGATTGATAATATAAATAATATCACACTTTTTTCAGTATTGTTGATTTTTAAATAGTTCTCTTAAAATAGAAATAATTGAATGCAATTATTATTCATTACTCTAGCTTCATAGTGTAAAAAATGATACTTTATTTGTAAGGTCTATCATTAAAATAAGAAGAATTAAGGCAGCATATCTATTTTTAATTAGATTATTGGGTTTAATTGAATAATTCATATGATAATGAAAATAGGTAGTTAATAATCAATATTTTAATATATTTGGGAAATTTCAGATTTTTAAAATTTTATATCATTATACGATACGACGTAAATAATTTGATATAATAAATATAGATACAACAATTACAGTTATTTCATTGCAGCAATCATAATTATACTATAGTCAAATAAAATTTGATCTAATTCTTCAGACTTCTTTGATATTATTTTTATTATAATATAGATATATTTTTATATATATAATCACACAAACCTATAATATATTTTTTTATATAAACATAACTATAAATAATGAAGGGCTTTGTGAGTTGGCTAGATAGATTAAGGAGCGAGCGATTCAGGTCCATTTCTGTCCTTCCCCCTATTCGAAACTCTGCTTGAAAGTGTTAAAATTTGAGATGATAAAAGAGAATTAGATTGTATAAAACATATGTTATTAAAATACAAAGTTAATCATTTTTAAACTATTTCCTTAAAATAAATATGTTATTACTTATTTTACAAGAAAGGTTTGGATTCAAGAAATTTCTTTATAAAAAATAAAACATTGATAAGAATTATTATAAAAAAGTTTAATTCAAATGCATTTTAATATTAAATTGGTTCAATTTTACTTGATTTTTTCAAAAGCAAAATAAATTGCTGTTTGTAATTCACAGTAAATGATTACTGAAATTATTGTGGACTATATTATAAACACAAAACTAAATAAAGAATAGAATTAATTATTTTTAATTAATAATAGAAAAAAAGATTAAAATAATTTTAATAAAATTCATTAAAATCAAAAATTCTATTTATTCATTTTTTTTATTATAAATCAATATTATTTTACCAAACAAACCTTTATAATGGATTATCATAATATTACAATATTTTTATTTTTTCTTAAGTTTATATTTTTTTTAAACGGAGATAATAAGCTTTTTAAAGTTAATCTAAAATATCAGTAATTAAGGTATAGAATAATAAGAAACAAAAAAGTGATATGTGTAACCATCCATAAAATAAAAATTAATCATGATTTAATTCTAGACTGTATATTAAAAATGACCCTAAAATGATTAATAAGGTAATTTCTCTGCAAATTAATTTGGATATTTCAAAATTAGATTTTATAGGTTTAAAGATTATAATGTATATTAAATAAAAAAATGACAGCATTGAAAGTAAAACTGATTAAGCTTCGGGATATTATATAAATTCAGTTATAATTGTAATATAGAAAGCAGTTTTATAAATTTAGAATGGCTTAAAATTGGCTGCCCAAAATTCAGTTTTAGAATCTTAAAAAAAATACTTCCATTTTTGTTTATTCTTAATTTAAGATGTTGTTATTGATAGTAATCTAAAAAACATTTAAATTAAGAATATTAAGCTACTTAATGCTACAATACTATTAATTATTTCAAAAATGGTATTAAAAGTGTAATCAGGAAATTACAATAGTGTACTAAATAATAATTATTGAAGTGTTGAATAAAATAGTTAAAAAAATCCAAAAGAAAAATAATAGTTCTTCACTTTTGTACATTATAATTAGATCTTCTTCTAAAAGTATGAGATTAGTCGGAGAGATTTAATATTTTCTTCATGCTTTATAAAGTATTGTCCTAACCAATCTGATACTTTACTTGAAGATATTAGACAACATACAGAATATGTTAATAATGATAAAAAGTAGGAAAAGTAACATCCTTTGGCATTCATTAAATACATCTAATTTAACATATTTGTTTGTTAGGATTTTTACTATTTGTTTACTAAATATGGAATAGTACCTCCATTAAGTTTAATAATAAGTTCATCAACTCTTAATTTATCTAATATAGGTTATAATGAAATTTTAGTATAAGTTTCTAGAAACTGACTTAAATGAGGAGGAAATTTATATTGCATATATCTGATGTAAGATATAGACTATAATAAATCTAATAAATTGAAAAATACAATATAATTGCCAGTTAAGAATAGAAATGCAGAAATACTAACTGTAGAATATACTATAGCATCATTCATTTTAATAATTTAATTGACTTTTTGTTAAGTAGTTTGTGATAACACAAAAGGAGTTCCAAGTCTTATTTATTTTGTATTAGTATTTAATTCCAAGTCATATTAATTATATATAGAGAATTTCTGTATATTAATTTGTAAAATTGGTTCATTGACAGGTTCTAAAAATTAAACTAAAATTTAATATTTAGGATATGCTAATTAATTAGAAATATTAGTTAAAGGATTAAAAGATAAAACATATTAAGTTTATGGAATGATAATAAATTCTATAATATTTTCAAAGAGTTGTTCAGATTATATATAAACTTGTTAAGAGAAACCTAATTCAAGTATTTTTGTTTGATTTTAGATATCGGAGAGTAAGGTTAATTCAAAATTAGGTGATTAAACAAAAGTACAAATACTTAATACTTTATCCTAATTGATGCACAGATATGAATCTTCTTCAAAACATAATGCTGAACATCCATCTCCACCATTATTATTTCCATCATCACATTATTCAAAAAGACTATTAAGTATTCCATTACCACATAAATTAACACATTCATTATTGATAAATTCTTAATTCTGATTACATTATACAATTAGTAATTATGTATTATTAATTTACTCTTTTGATTCTGGATAAGTAATATCTTATTGTTATTTACACTTAAAAGTTTGAATATCTAAAATGTAATATTATTATTCATCACATAATATACAGTGATTATCCTTTTCACATTTGATACATCCAAAAGAACATTAATATTAACATTAATAACAACCATCATATGGAATATCATTGCCATCATCACATTACTCAAAAAGTGAAATAATTATTTAGTCTCCACAAATTGGTATACATTTTCCATCATTAATCTCAAAAGAAGATTAACATATTTCACAATTTTAGAACTTATCACAAACCAAACAATCATGATCACATTAATAATTACAATCAGTACAATTGGAATCTTCAATATTATCACATTATTCTTAAGATAAGATTGCTATTTAACCATCTCCACAAATTTATTTACATTAATAATCCTGAAGTTACCAACCATCTTAACAATTATAACATTTATTATCAGAACAAAATAAACATTCTATTTAACAACTTTTTTAACATTTATAACATCCATCAAATTGGATACTATTTCCATCATCACATATTTCTTATGATAATATAATACCATCCTAACATTTAGGAATACAATGTTTTTTATTAAAATTTAATTCATATCCATCTTAGCATTCTAAACATTTTCCAAATTATTCCACTTTACAATTTCCATCTTATTATTTCAATTATTCATTAACTTCACAATCAAAATGATAAAAGGGATTTATATTATTATAGTAAATATGTTGTAATTAATATTAATTACATTATCTCTCAATTATTAAAAAATTATAATCTACTTTATTTTCTTCAAAATGAGTGTTTTCGAATCCATCCCTAACATACGAACACATACCTTCTATTATTTAATATTAAGTTTCACACTTCAAACATTTTCCAAATTAACAATTAAGACAGTTCTTTGGACAAGAGAATTAACAATTATGGCATCCATCATTAGCAACTAAATTACCATCATCACATTCTTCATAATGATTAATGATAGAATTTCCACAAGAAGGTATACATGATTTTGTTGATTCTTTATATTCCCATCCAATTAAACAATCATAACAAATACCTTTAATACAATTTGCACAACCTTAAATGCAATCATAATTATTTGAAAAGCATCCATCAAATGGAATAATGTTGTTATCACAGCATATAAAATCAAAATCTTTATTAACAAATAATAAAAAATCTCTTATTCCAATATATGTAGACAAATTATTTGAATTATCCTTTTTTATTAATTCAACATGAATTGCTATTTTTAATCTTTTACTACTATGTTGTTATTAAAATAGATTAATTTCTTTAAAAGAAATATAATCACAAACATAACCAGGTAATTTTAATTATTAATAAATAAAATTAGTTGCAAATACTAAATTATCATCTAAATAAATATGAATGTTAGTTGATTCTGAATTAAAAATTAAAAGCTTTACTTAAAAACTTATCAAATTATGTTATTCTAAATCAAAAATTTTATGCAAATTATCTCCTGGAGAAACAATATAATTGAATCCTAAATAAACATTTTAATGTACCATAGCATTCTTTAATTTAATTAACAGTTTCAACTCCACTTTACCATCCTTCTTCATCATTTACAACAGTAAATACTTTTTAATTAAATAATCTCAAATATAATTATTGATTGAAACATTCTTATGAATTACAGAAATTACATCCATTTGAACATTCATTTATTGATAATTAAAATTCTGTTATTCCCCAATATGTATTTTCAGCAATCATTGAGATTGTGACAATAGGACTTGAATGCTAAATTGTGATAGAAATAGGAAAAATAAGATATTCATTATTATAATTGCATGTACCAATTGAGCCACTAAAATCATTATAAAACTTTTAGTATGAGATTTTACCATCTATATAAATAATAAATTCACGTGAAAATTAATTTTTAACTCTAATAAAATAAAATAAAGACTGTATAATTACCTCAAAAATATTAATTCTAATTGTAATTCATAATGAGGCTAAAGCTCTAAAGTTTTGAAAACCAAAAAATTATATTGAGATTAATAAATAAATAACATTTTTTTATCACTGCAATCTTAATTTTTGATTTTATTCTGATTATCACTATCTATTTGATAGCTATTCCAAGCTTAAATAATACGATATTATTTTACTATCTGAAAAACTATTAAATAGATCTTGATAAACTATTGTTGATTGTGAGCTCTTTAATATTAGATTTAGGATCAAGAAAATAGATGTGACTTTTTAATATTTGAATTATGATGCTAATAAATGGGTATTTAGATTAGCTTTCATGACTATTTTTTAAAAGTGATTTATCAATATAATAAAAATAAAGTTAAATTATTTTCACATAATTTCAAATAAATATGTCTAAAAAATCTTTATTAAAATAATAATTTATATAGCATTTTCAATATACTATCATGATAATCAAATCAATATTATCATTAATAGAAATTCATTTTATTAATTAAATAAATAACTGAAAGCTATTCAACCATTAATATTATATTTTAATTATATAATTCATTTTCATATATTCATTTATAATTAATAATAAGCTTCAACCTTTATAAAATGTAAGTAAGGATTGTATGTATTTCCTGCAACACTTAGTATCCTAAAACCTTTAACCATTTAATCAGAAAATTTAATTGTAAATACACTTTATGCAAAATTATCATAAATCTAAGTTTCTGAATTTTCAAATATTATGTAAATTCTAATTCTGTAAAATCTATTATCTCCATCCCAAAACCATATTTTTAAAGTATTTAATTCATACTTTTGTAATAAATCTAATGTTATTGATTATCCAGTTGGACTCCAAGTATATGTAGATAATGTGTAAATACTATCTCTAAGACAGCATCCATTATTACCTCCTAAAAAACCATTTGTTATTCTTGATGAGATTAGAGCACCTTTGTATAAGTGTAGTACATTTTGATAATTACCTCTAATAATTGATTTTATTTTTGTTTATCTAGTCAAACATTTTTAATTGGAGATTACAGGCATATTAAATATAAGAAGCATAGTTAAAAGTTTTAAGAGTTTTGATGACATATTCAAAAATTAAATGCAATAATTAATTTATTTATTAGACAANGTATAATTACCTCAAAAATATTAATTCTAATTGTAATTCATAATGAGGCTAAAGCTCTAAAGTTTTGAAAACCAAAAAATTATATTGAGATTAATAAATAAATAACATTTTTTTATCACTGCAATCTTAATTTTTGATTTTATTCTGATTATCACTATCTATTTGATAGCTATTCCAAGCTTAAATAATACGATATTATTTTACTATCTGAAAAACTATTAAATAGATCTTGATAAACTATTGTTGATTGTGAGCTCTTTAATATTAGATTTAGGATCAAGAAAATAGATGTGACTTTTTAATATTTGAATTATGATGCTAATAAATGGGTATTTAGATTAGCTTTCATGACTATTTTTTAAAAGTGATTTATCAATATAATAAAAATAAAGTTAAATTATTTTCACATAATTTCAAATAAATATGTCTAAAAAATCTTTATTAAAATAATAATTTATATAGCATTTTCAATATACTATCATGATAATCAAATCAATATTATCATTAATAGAAATTCATTTTATTAATTAAATAAATAACTGAAAGCTATTCAACCATTAATATTATATTTTAATTATATAATTCATTTTCATATATTCATTTATAATTAATAATAAGCTTCAACCTTTATAAAATGTAAGTAAGGATTGTATGTATTTCCTGCAACACTTAGTATCCTAAAACCTTTAACCATTTAATCAGAAAATTTAATTGTAAATACACTTTATGCAAAATTATCATAAATCTAAGTTTCTGAATTTTCAAATATTATGTAAATTCTAATTCTGTAAAATCTATTATCTCCATCCCAAAACCATATTTTTAAAGTATTTAATTCATACTTTTGTAATAAATCTAATGTTATTGATTATCCAGTTGGACTCCAAGTATATGTAGATAATGTGTAAATACTATCTCTAAGACAGCATCCATTATTACCTCCTAAAAAACCATTTGTTATTCTTGATGAGATTAGAGCACCTTTGTATAAGTGTAGTACATTTTGATAATTACCTCTAATAATTGATTTTATTTTTGTTTATCTAGTCAAACATTTTTAATTGGAGATTACAGGCATATTAAATATAAGAAGCATAGTTAAAAGTTTTAAGAGTTTTGATGACATATTCAAAAATTAAATGCAATAATTAATTTATTTATTAGACAATGTTTATCTTATTTAATATTCTCTATTTGTTGAAGTCCTCCTCATTTTAATTAAGAAATTTCATAATTCTTCTTTATTAATCAATTGAAACAAAAATTGATTTAGAAAATTATTTATTTAAAAATTACAAAATAATTTGAATTTAATATTATCAATTACACACTATATTATAATGAAGCTTCAATAAATTGAAAAGTTTAAAGAACTTTTAAATGACAAAGCTAACTCATTTATTTTTAGACCTTCCATAATCAAAAGTAATTCAAACATTGTCAAAGTAGGCAATGAAAAATGAAAGTATTTTATAAGATTTAGTTCAAAACAACTAATTCATCGAATTTGAGAAGATAAATCTTTTCTAAATTCTCAATAGAGTATATATATATAAAGAATTTATCAATCAATGATTAATAGTTTCCTAAATAATATATAATTATTTTAATAATCTATATAGTTTATTAAATAAAAGCTTTATTATCACCTTTTGGCTGTCTTATTGAATAAGGGAACTTAACTTAAATTTTCTTTTCATTTAAAATTAAGATTCGAACTTAACTAAATCATTGTATTATTTGAATATAGCAAGGCCTGGCAACTCTCTCTTTTCTATTCCCATTTAGTAAATATATATTGATTCAAATTGTTTTGGGTTGATTCTCTTCTATTATTAAGACATTCTTAAAAGAAAAGCTAAAGATATAAGAATAAGTGTTAATCAGTTTTATTTTATATAATAAGATATTCTGTATATTTCATTTTATCTATTATTACATCCATTTGAGTCCATCTTTTAAACCTTCTCCTGTAATTGCACAACAAGGTTAAATATAACAATTTTTAGAAATTTTCTCCATCATTATTTCAGATGCTAGTTCTTCAGAGTTCAATTTCATTAAGTCTTATTTATTTGCATATATTAATAAAGGTAAACCATTTAATATAGGATCTAGCATCAATTTATATAACTCTCCTATTACTTCAGCCATTCTTTCTCTATCTGAACAATCTATAACATAAATTAATCCTTTGCCATTCTAATAGTAAGGTTTCCAAATTATTCTTATTTTATCTGCTCCACCAACATCCCAAGATATTATTTCAAATTATTTAGTTATTAGTTTTTCTATATTAAATCCAATATTTGGAACTAGATGTTCTATATTTCCTAATTTTAATTTATGTAAAATTGTTGTTTTTCCTGAGTAGTCGAATCCAAGCATAATTATTTAAGGCTTATTGCTTATTGTTAAATTTGAAAAAGGATTTCCCATAAAATAATGTTAGGTTTCAATTTTAAATTTCTATATATATATACATTAAATCATTAACTTTCCTACAAGGAATTTATGCAATATTATTAAATTGATAAATTCTGATGAAATATTATTATTTTTTAAATGATAAAAATATTTTATTAAAAATTAATGAATAATCTCTTGCTATTCCATATTCATATATATTTATTTTATCATTTAATATTAAAGTTAATATATTTTGAGATAATTATCATTCAAAATATTAGTTTAATTTGTAAACAATGATTTTATTATTGATCAAATTTTTAAATATTCAAATATTGTAAATATTTGAGTGTAGAGGAAGATAACAGCAGTATTTCATTCTTAAATGAATATTTTCGAAATAGATGTAGATATGAATCATTTCTAAAATCAACTCATTTTTATCTTAGTGATATACATAAATCTAAAAATGATGGAAAATTCAATTATTAATTGTTAATCATTATCAAAATGCAGATACTTATATAACAAACGATTAATTAATTGAAGAAGCTTAAATGAAATTTGAAGCCCTCTTTTTAATTATAATGTAAAAACCCGATATTCTACTCTTTAAAATGTAAGATTTTTTACAAATTTTACTGAATTAATATACCTTCTAAGGCTATATCTTATTAGTCTTGATTTCTGGATTCGACCTTTCATTTTTAGGTTTAATTACTTTTCTTAGAATAGTTTTATTAAAATATACTCAAAGCAACTTTATATAATAGATTTTACCTATTGTTTAGTGAATATTGAACAATGCTAGACTCTTTAATACAACTTCAACTACCAAGAAGTTTATTATCTCAAATTTTTTATTCAATTATAGCTTTAAAAGTATCAACTAGAAATATTTAATTGATTATTTTTGGATACTATTTCCTTAAAATTACTAAGAGGAATCTACTGATTTATGATTTCTGAATCTTTCTCTAAATCCTTGGTTCAAAATCCTCTCCTCAAATGTTAATTTCTTTTGGACAGCCCTTATGGATTACCTCATCAAATGATTCATCAATCTGAATCTAATTACTACACCTTTGAGAATTGTAAGTAAAGTAAATTTTAAATTATATAATCATAAAGATCTTTAAAAAAATAAGGGAGAATTTTAATGATTATTTTAACATTATTTATTAATTTTTAAATAATCATTTATTGAATCATAAATTGTATTCAATTTCAACTAGACTGATTTTTATTTTTTCTATTGGTTGCAATCTATTTCCAAAATTTTACACTTTTAACAACATATCTAGCTCATATTCCATTCAATTTTGAAAGAAAACTTAGAACAATATCTTATTTTTAAACTATAATTTAAATCATTTTCCTAATTAGATCAGCAAAGATAATCTTTTGTTTAATAAAATAAAGTTTAATAAAAAAATATCAATTTTATATTTGATTCAAAATTCAATTTTAAAAGTCTTAGTTAATTGATATTTATTAATATTATTCAATGATCATAATAAACTTCATTAAGCTTTTCTTTGTTATAAACGTCCAATTTCTCCCAAATACCAATTTTTTAACCATTTTTATAATTACCATTGTAGATTATGTCAGAAAGATAGAGAAATCCATCATTTATTTCAATCCAATTTCCAACTTTTTCACCTTAATTATATAATCCACCACCACTAATAAAATGGATAAATTTTATAATTTTTACATGTTTTCAGTATTTGGATTATCAAAATTATTCCTTCCCCAAATTTCCCATTTTCCTATTTTGATACCGTTTTGATATTCACCCCTATATGTTACTTATGTTTCACTTTTAAATCCATCAATAATTTCAATCCAATTTCCAACTTTAAGTGCTTAATCACCTTCATCGTATGATCCACCTCCTCTAAAAATTGAAATAATATTTCAAGCTTACATCAATTTTTATTCTTACGTATTACAATTCCTAAACCAAATATTCCATTTACCAAATTTTTGACCATTGTTATAATTTCCTTCAAAAGTTACTTAAGACCAATCAGAAAATTCACTACTAATCTCAATCCAATTTCCAATCTTAGTTTCTTGATTCCCTTCATCATATAATCCGCCACCACTATAATAGTGTAGAATTCTAATGTTACATCAAAATATTGTTATAATAAATATTCCATCTACCAACTTTCTTACCATTTTTATATTCTCCATTAAAAGTTACTTATGAAAATTGATAAAATCCCTCACTTATATCAATCCAATTTCCAATTTTTACTCCATGTAGTTCATCAAATTCTCCACCACCACTAACCATAAATGTTGATTTATGAATAATAATTTACATCTATTTATTGTTTCCATCCAAATTAAACAATGTAACCCATCTACCAACTTTTTAACCATTTTTATATTCACCATCAAAAGTTATTAGTGATCTATCAGAAAATCCATCACTGACATCAATCCAGTTTCCAATTTTAAGTTCTTTACCTCCTTCATCATATAAACCACCACCACTAAAAAAATATATATGATGCTTTATATTTTACATTTATGATCCTTCATTCCAAAAACTCTTCCAAAAACCTATTTTTTTACCTTTTTTATATTCACCATTATAAGTTAAGCATGAATGAAANTTTTAACAACATATCTAGCTCATATTCCATTCAATTTTGAAAGAAAACTTAGAACAATATCTTATTTTTAAACTATAATTTAAATCATTTTCCTAATTAGATCAGCAAAGATAATCTTTTGTTTAATAAAATAAAGTTTAATAAAAAAATATCAATTTTATATTTGATTCAAAATTCAATTTTAAAAGTCTTAGTTAATTGATATTTATTAATATTATTCAATGATCATAATAAACTTCATTAAGCTTTTCTTTGTTATAAACGTCCAATTTCTCCCAAATACCAATTTTTTAACCATTTTTATAATTACCATTGTAGATTATGTCAGAAAGATAGAGAAATCCATCATTTATTTCAATCCAATTTCCAACTTTTTCACCTTAATTATATAATCCACCACCACTAATAAAATGGATAAATTTTATAATTTTTACATGTTTTCAGTATTTGGATTATCAAAATTATTCCTTCCCCAAATTTCCCATTTTCCTATTTTGATACCGTTTTGATATTCACCCCTATATGTTACTTATGTTTCACTTTTAAATCCATCAATAATTTCAATCCAATTTCCAACTTTAAGTGCTTAATCACCTTCATCGTATGATCCACCTCCTCTAAAAATTGAAATAATATTTCAAGCTTACATCAATTTTTATTCTTACGTATTACAATTCCTAAACCAAATATTCCATTTACCAAATTTTTGACCATTGTTATAATTTCCTTCAAAAGTTACTTAAGACCAATCAGAAAATTCACTACTAATCTCAATCCAATTTCCAATCTTAGTTTCTTGATTCCCTTCATCATATAATCCGCCACCACTATAATAGTGTAGAATTCTAATGTTACATCAAAATATTGTTATAATAAATATTCCATCTACCAACTTTCTTACCATTTTTATATTCTCCATTAAAAGTTACTTATGAAAATTGATAAAATCCCTCACTTATATCAATCCAATTTCCAATTTTTACTCCATGTAGTTCATCAAATTCTCCACCACCACTAACCATAAATGTTGATTTATGAATAATAATTTACATCTATTTATTGTTTCCATCCAAATTAAACAATGTAACCCATCTACCAACTTTTTAACCATTTTTATATTCACCATCAAAAGTTATTAGTGATCTATCAGAAAATCCATCACTGACATCAATCCAGTTTCCAATTTTAAGTTCTTTACCTCCTTCATCATATAAACCACCACCACTAAAAAAATATATATGATGCTTTATATTTTACATTTATGATCCTTCATTCCAAAAACTCTTCCAAAAACCTATTTTTTTACCTTTTTTATATTCACCATTATAAGTTAAGCATGAATGAAACCAAAATCTATTACTTATCTCAATCCAGTTTCCTACTTTAAGTTCTTGTCCTTTTTCATCATACAATCCACCTCCACTAAAATTAAGTTGATGTTATTATAAAAATAATAATTATACATCTAATTATTAATTCCTTATTCATCAACCCATATATCCCATATACCAATTTTGTTACCATTTTAATATTCTCCAAAATGTATTACTTATGATTGATCCCAAAAACTCTCATTTGGTTACATCCATTTTCCATGTTTTAAACCTGCCTAATTATATAAACCTCCAGCTCTATTTTAACAATAATAATTTGAATACATTTCTTTTCCCTTATATATATACGTCCAATAACCTTACCTTTAGTCATTCAGATATTCTCCAAATTCATATACCTAAGCCTAACTTTAAAATAACAAAATAATATCACTTCCAATAATTTTTGAATAATTCCTTCCATAGGCCTTATTTTTTTCCTTCATCATAATATCCTCCTATTTCTTACAGAGTTTCTCCCTTCCAAGTTACATTCCATTTACCAATTTGTTAATTATTATTATCATAACTTCCAATCCATTTTAAAAAATTTATCTATTCTAAATTAGTTAAGTATTCAGGTTACTTTGAGTTATCTTTAATAATATCCCTATTTTCCTTAAATAATAAAGTATACTGTCTTATAATGGATCCATCTTTTATGTATTAAATTTCTTAATCTTTCAACAAGATTTAGAATGTAGAGTTAATAAATCTCCTTTCGAGTTCATCCCAAGAGATTCCATTAAATTAATTAATACCTTTACATAAAGTAGGCTCCTAAACTAATTGAATTTCGTTCAATTTTTTCTAAAGATTCATAACTAAAAATAATAAAAATTTATAATATTTATTAGTTTTTAAACATCTGGCTTTTCTTAAAAACCAAAATTAAATGTTAAAAATTTTTGTATTTCTTTTTCTAGGAAATTAAGTTTGTTTTAAATAATATATTTGTAATGGGTTCTGTATAATAGCAGAACAATATATCTTAACTTCTTGGATCTTCTACATTTAAGTTGTTGATAATGATTTAATTTTTTTTTAATTGTATTTTATAAATATATGATTCGAATCCAGAAATATCTAAAAATCACTATTTTACAGAAATTCATATTAATACAACTAAATAAGAGCTTGATGATCCTATAGTATATAAGCTATCAATATAGTATTATATGAAAGTATGGTATTTAATAAAATGTATTTATGATCTAGCTTTATTAAGAAATCAAGAAAAAATTAAGTAACCTTAAAAAGTAAAAGACCATTTTATTAATAAAAACTGCTGGAAATAACAAATTAGATCTATTCAAAAATGAATCAAATTGAATTTCAGTATACTAAGCGTTATTATTTTAAATAATTTTTGATTGTATAACTAGTAACTAAATAATAGTGTAAGTTTGGTGGTTTCTGAACCTTCAATCATGATATATTCTTTGTCATATAGTTTTTTGAAATAATCAAATTTATTATTTATCCTCTCATTTATCTTGTTAATCTATTTTGCAATTTTCTTAGTCTTCATTTTAATGATATTGTGTGTTCAAAATATTAATAATTAAAATTTCAGAAAATCACTTTCTCTGACAAATTTATAGATTAGACTAAAGAAGAGGACTGAATCGATAATGGATGGATTTTAGAGTACTAAACATAATTAAGATTATATAAGAAGAAGATACTTTATAATAATCAATAATATTGTTGAAACAAGATCCCTTTAGATTTTTCGAATAAGCAGAGAATTATATCAAATTCTTTTATGAAATAGATAAAGGTTGCAAAATACCATAAGAATGAATAAAAATAACTTATATTTAAATATATTGAATATTTTTCAAGTTTCATTTAAAAATAAATTCATATACTTAGCATTCAATTATATTTGGCTTATCCTATCCAAATAAATGACTCGATTACTTATCCTGATAATTATTACATTAATATGTATCACCTATTCTAGAATATCCACTTTTAAAATCAGAATATATACTTATATCATGAGCATATCCAAATTTAGGCCCATGACTAGAATTACAACGAATCGCGTTTTCTATTTTTTATCAAATTATATTAATTTAAATTATTTTATCTTAAAAATCACAGCTATTTAATTCAAAAAATAATATAGTTTCTGATCATATTGTTAAATTAGACTTTATCCCAATTTCAAATTATAAAATTTATAGAAATACTAATATATGTTCTTTTTTTTTAATTTAGTTTCTTATGATTCAACTTCTTTTTCGATCTATTCAATATATAAATCAATTTATTAAAGTAATTTTGTAAGTTCCGTCTTAATAAAAACTTTGAATGACTTTATTGATGATTATAATTATTGTAAATATGATAGTCTAAGAACCTATTCTTCCTTAAAAATTCTTTCTGATTAAATAGTCATGTTTTTTATCACTTCATTGGCTTAATTAATCATTGTCATATTATTATTATTATCATCAAATTTGTCAACCAAACACATTGTACAATAATATTTATTATCTACTTTAGTTTATACATTTAAATCTACTACTACTATTTCTAATTTGTGAAATTAACAAATTTGAACATGTAGTAGTCTCTATTCTTTGCATTTGATATTTTTCTTTATTTAATTATTTCAACAGAATAAATAATTTCAAGGTTTTATATACATTATGACAATAAAAAATTATAAAACATTGTTAACATTTCCAATAAATTAAAAGATATTAATAAATTTTTTCTATTGTATCTTAACGTTACTTAAAAATAGGATGACTTTGATTACCAATATTTCTATTTATTAATGATTTTACTCATTTAATTTGGGTTTTTGTTTTTATGAATAGTAGAACTAAAAAGAAATAATATTTGTATAAATATTTTGAAGAAAAATAGATAAATAAGGAATTAAGCAGAGTGATATGGATCAATTCTAAGAGAAGAAAACTACAATCTAATTAGCTTGTAATCTGTAACTATAGTATATAAGAGTAATGAATTTGAATTACTTTAACAAAATAAATCTATTGTAGTTTTGATTTGAAATCAGCACTTATGAATTTT